AAATAATACTTCTTCCGGCTCACAAGAGGTGATACTAAACTTTCTTTGATTTCTACCAAAAGGAATCCCTAAATGATATCCAGATAAAATATTTCATTAAATTCTGTTTATTTTAGATAAAGATAAAGAGCCCGATAAAAAGCTACATAGATCTTTGAATATTTCTCTCTCATAGTTTTTGTTTCCATCTATTTAAATATGATGTAAATGTTTCTTTGTATTGTGATATTTAAATATTTTAGTTAGCTTACTCATTCAATTTAGGTCTGGATTGCCATGGCATTACAAGGCAATTATGTAAGTTCTCTCTGTATTTGTTTATATCAAAATCTTATGAATTTAAATCTATTTTGACCCCTGAGCAGTGGTAACTTTGGGGCAAATTCTCAGAAATGAAGCCAAAATTGCCAAAGTAGAAAGATGAATGTTTTTATTTGCTTTTTTGGAGCAATGAAGATTTTATTGATCTGTGTGTAATGCATCATTCATAGTAGATCAGGAAGTGTTTGCTTTATGATGGAAACCTTATATGTCGAAAACCATTCCTTTATTGTACATTTTGTGTGCAAGAATATAAGAAATCACCAGCAAAATTTTAAAAAGGAATAGACACAGTGCTGCCCATTAATGGAGTAACACTGTAGTAATCCCCAAAAATTGCAGCTGAGCTTCTTTACAGCATACTTTCTGGGTTTCCTTTATTGACTGCTGCAAAGAAAAAGAACATAGAGGATTTTCTTCAAGCCCCTTGGTGTGTGAAGCTTTTCTGATACTGTTTCCGGAAAAGGATTTTGTAACCATCCAGATTACAATCTTCTGCTGAAACAGTACTCTGGTTTTCCTGTGTCACTGCTCTGTTAGAAAAAGATCCTTAAAGACAGAAGAAATTTTTGAACATTTAAACTGCTTGTGTGAAAAGCAGACAAGAATAAAAAGGACTACAAAAAAGTTTGCTTAATTTACAATATACTTTTTCTTATTTAGATAATGAAGCTCTCCTGGCTCCTCTTATCCCTCATCGTGCTGATGTCCGCACCTCGAGCAAAACCAGGTACAGTTTGCACACATATAACAAAAATAAAATAATGTGAAAGATGACAGTTATAAGTTGAGTTATTTTTTCGCAAGTTTGATTGCAAATGGGGGGTAATGGTTGCATCAGATTTTTTAAAGACATTTAAATGTGTCCAGTTTTAGATGGTTCATGTAAGAACAGTGATGTAATGTGACCACGTTTATAATTTGTGGTGAGAGTCTCAGTGGCTGATGCCAACACAAACACCAGAGAGCAAATTTAAAGGAAACACCTCAAAGTGTGATGAATTAGACTTCCTTTACAACTTAAAAAGAAAGAAGAACATTCTGGAAATAACATATTCATACATTTGACTACCCTCTGTTTAGACCTAAAACTGTTTATCATTGCTGTACCTAATTTATTTGGCTCCTAATAAGGAAAAAGGTAAAGGATTACGTATATATATAGCACCGTTTAAAAGACAAATGTCACAAACTGTCTTGTTAAAAGACAATCCATGAAATTAGAAAGCAGTGTTGTGATAGCCTGATAAACCAGACTAAATGTGAGATTTAATGTGTAATTTAATCTGACCCCAATGAATGAGACATCGGAAGATTGTTGATGAGAACAACCCGTTGTTTTTCAAACCATGTCTGTGCCTATTGGCCAACGCTCTGACCAATGAGCGCGACTGACTGTGACGTAGTAAGCGCGACAGAAAGGTGCTAGGGGAGTGTAAACAAACAGCCTGTCGGTAAAACGGCGAATACGTCCTTCTTAAAAATGAATGAGCGTAGAGCCTCTTCCTGCTCACGTTTCAACGAAAACCCCAAGTTTAATCCTTCCTAAACTGATTCCAAAGCTGAGTCAAACGAGAACTGTTCAATAGTTGTTGCCAACTTCCTTGTTGTGCTTTCTCCAACATCGTGCAGCTTTGTCATCATGCCCTCAAATCCCAGCCCGCTTTGATTCCAAAAATTTAAAACACATCTCTGCGTTGTGATTGGCCCGCCAGTGCTGGGGCTTGGGGCATTGATGGAGGCTAGACCACTCGCAGACAACAATGATTTTGTCCGCTAGTTTACTAGGCTAGTGTTGTGATACATTTTTATTAACTCCATCTAGATGTTTTGAACACTGTTTTTAATATATTACAATTTTCTCCCTCATTTTCAAAAGCATCAGATTCTTCGTGCATTCACAATGACGAGGAATTTTTTAAACTCATTGAAGGTGAATCATTTTACTTTGAAATTGAGGACCCTAACCTGCCTGATGAAAATATTACTTGGTACAAAGATGGGCCGGAGATACAGAATATTACCACAGAAGAGACACACAGGATACATTACCATGGTGGAGCGCTCTTATTCTTAAACATCAGTGCTATTGATTCTGGTAATTATGCTGCAAGGTAAGAATCTTAATCTTACTCACTATTCAGGTTGTTCATTTTATTGTTATTTATGTGTCATGAAAACCCATTTTAAGTAAAAATCACTATATTTATTGTATTCCTTACAATCTCTACTCCATCACAATAAAGAACGATAACTCTACCTCAATGTCTTCCTTGGTTCTTCTCCAATTCTTCTAAAAATATTTTAATATACTATTCCAAAGTATATTCTAATATAAAATGCAACCACAATAAATCAGTGGAGAAATTAACTGACATATGTTGTGCTATTTAAAGTATATCTGAAACAAATACATGAGGGCGAAACTTCTGTATATTGATCAACAAAGTTACTGGTCTTAAAATGCAACACGTTAACATTATGGTTGGTTTTGATAGGATTGAACTAAAAATACAATAACTGCTGTTAACTTATAAGTACGAACATTTCTTTCAGCCTTTTCTACGTCTACTTTGGACTACAGTGATCCATGATTTGATTAAGGAGAGAGGAATATCAACATTGGCAAGTCAGAAGGAGATTAGAAATACTTTAAATACATACAAAACTCTATACTTTTAAACCCTGTTAAAGTATTCTTTGATACTTTACCTGAACCCAAATTAACATAATTTCATTTTGTATTTACATCATATATAATTTGCATTATTATTACATCCCACCTTGGGTGTTTGGGGTCAGTAAAACCTCTTATTTTTGCAAAACAGGGGAATTGGCATTGTCTGACTTTCAGCTGAGACGGACCACATGCCAGTGCTTTGGAGAAGGGAGGGCTCACAGCAGCCTATTCTGCTGGCTGTATACAGTAATCTTTTTTAAAGTGCGATCAGGGCTTGTGGCCAAAGTCTTCAAAAACACAGAGTGGGAACTTGATTGATGTGTTGTCTTTTAATAAAAATCTAAACAGTGTCAGACTAATGTCTGCAGTTTTCCTGACAGCAGCACACCACAGTTTAACATCTGGAGGCAGGAGCTGGGGTGGGTGGTCTGTCTGTCTGTCTGTCTGTCTGTCTGTCTTTCTTTCTTTCCTTTTGTCTTTGTCTGACAGACAGACAGACAGACAGACAGACAGACAGACAGACCCTATATATGTCTATCTTGCTTGCATCCAGCTTGCAAAGGGGGTCACTATACAGAGACTAATGCCTTTTTAGGAAATGGAGTAAAAAAAACTTTTGGGCACCATAGGACTAATAGATTTGCTCCTGTCAGCCTAGAGGGAGCAGAAACCCTAACAGTGATAGTTTGGGATCCTCTTGCTTACACATCAAAGGAAGTAAGAAATCATTTCAAAGACCTGCAGCTTGTTTTTTCACAAGTGAGGAGACAGTGCAAAAGCTGTTTCCAGTCAATTAGCTGGCAATCAGCAGAAGATGATTGATGTTTGCATCATTTGTGCTTTTTTTAATTTATATTCTATGATGAGAAGTTCTGTTTGTTTGTAACCATAGATTTAAAAAATGTCAATATACCTTAAAAAGTAGTTATGGGACAAATGCTAGATATTATGTTATGTAACCTACACTCTTTCACCTTTGTTTAGATTAATTGTTTTAAAACATCACAACTGATCTGTGTAGAGGACTTACTGTATATCGCAGAACCTTTAAAAAATTTTTTTGTTATTTTGCCATTTATTTATTTCTAAGCTATAAAATAATTGTCTTTTAAAAGACCAAGATCAGATTATGTACAATTATTGTGATGATTGACCTACAATTATCATGGGGTGTTTATTTTGTTGTTTCATTAGTCGTAGCTAAAACAATGTTTTTCTTATTTTAAATTTGAGATCAGATTATCTATATCTATAATCTTTCCTACAGAGAAATGACCCCCTCAGATAAATGTGTCTACCACCATGTAAAAATTGAAGTCTACAGTAAAAACAGTCGAGAGAAGGTCACCTATGGAAGTATTAAAAACTCTGACCAGAACAAGTTAATTGAATGTCCAGATCCCGTTGATTACATTTGCATGAAGTTTAATGGAAACTTCACTTGGTTAAAGGTACAGACAACTGTGATTTAAGGTTTTTCTGGTTTGCTTGCAAGGGAAGTGTACTTATTAATTTTATCATTAGTGTAAATATTATAAGAGCTATGAAGCTGGATCAGTCTCAATTTTCACAAATACACATATGTGATTCATACATGCACAGGACAAGATCCACACATGCACAGAACGATTCACACAAGCACAAAAAAATCATCCACACATATACAATACAAGATCCACACACGCACAGAGGTATTCACACAAGCACATAAAAATCCACACACACACAATACAAGATCCACACACGCACAGAGGTATTCACACAAGCACAAAAAAATCCACACACACACAGTACAAGATCCACACACGCACAGCATGATTCACACAAGCACACAAGATAATCACATGTACAGAACAATATTCACCAAAGTATTTCTGGTCCATTAACAATATAAATTAAATTACAAATTAGCAGTGGTCTTTAAACTTCACTGCATTTGTGTGCTAATTTTCGAGACTGCCCTGACATGCCTGGATACACAAATGCATTTTTTGTAAGCAGGGATGGTTTGCCACCAATCCTGAAGCTCCCTTGTATAAGCCAATCACAAGAAAGTACTCCACTTGGGATGACCCCCAGATCACACATCCTCCATATCTGTCCCGCTCACGTATGTTTAGCGGGGCATTTGCGCACTCATTTTAATCAATTAGAGTGTATCACATCCACAGCTACTCCTTTGAACGTCATCGTCCACATATGTCTTCTCCTTCCTTCACCATCAAAATAAGAAGCCGAACTGCTCCCTCTCCCAAGAACATCTCAAGTCTCCGCTAAGTGCCAAGCGTATTCCACCCGTCCCTGGGGCCCATGGTCGGATCCACTTTTGGGTGGCTGGCTGACGGCGGAGCCCACGGACTCCTCCCTGCAGCTCCTGGGGGCTCCGGCATTGTGGTGGCTGGGGAATTACCTCTGGGCCATCTCTCCTCCTCCCTTGGTGGGGGTTGGATTTTCCTGGATTGGCTCACCTCGGTGCTCAGGCGCATCTTTGGCTCTTCACAACCACCATTGAGCATTTTTTCTTTGGCTAAATTTTGGACAAACAACTATAGGTGCTTGGTTCCAGGTACTTAGAGATTCACTTCCATGCAGAAAGCCCATATTCTTATCTTCAGCTACCACAGTATAGATGTCAGATTAAATAATATAACACCTATAGTTGCAAAACACTACTCAAACGTGTGGATGACCTTGAAAACCACTCCCATTGAGCAAACCTGAGGATCCTGAATGTCCCAGAGGACAGCGAAAAGGGCCAGCAAACTGTTATGTTTGTATCCGACCTGCTAATGCACGCAATGGGCAGAGAGGTTCTTGAAAATCCCCCGGAGTTGGAGCGGGCTCATCGTTCTCCTGGCCAAAGACCTAGAGAAGGGCAGCCGCCTCGTCTCTTTGTGGTGTGCTTCCTTCGCCTACAGGAGAAAGAAAAGGCTATGCGGTGGTCCCGGATGCACGACGTGGAGTTTTAAAGGTTCCAAGCTGAGGATCTATCCGGATCTGTCTGCGGGCCTGGCGAAGAAACTCGCAGCATTTATAAACGGCTAACAGCTCTTCTATGAGAAGACCATAAAGTTCAGTTTGCTATATCCAGCACGTCTTCGGGTTCAGTTCGAGGATGAGACGCACGTCTTCCACTCACCAAAAGCTGCAAAGGAGTTCTATGATCGGTAGGTTTCCGTTCCAATGGCCTGATTCAGACTCAAGCAGACCGGTCTTGAAACAAGATAATACTTTTTCTACTTTCACAGATCTGGCTTACAAATACTCTATTCCTAAATCCATTTTTTTCTGATATCTTGAGATCCGCCACTTTATTCAAACGTATAACCCACTGGTCCCTCAACTACCAGAGGATTCAAACGTGGATGTTATACTAAAGATCCCCATAACTTCAAAGGGCTAAATTTCTAATTTATATATCTCAATTATGTCATTTACTGGCGTGTCAACAGACAACATCAAGACAAAATGGGAAGAGGATTTAGCGACAGTCATTTCAGAAGAGTTAAGCCCGGCGTATACTGTGCGATTTTCTGGGCGATTTTCCAGTTGTGTGAGAATCTTTCGATCGGCCCGACTTTCGGCCTGATCGTAAGTCGTGTATTGTACAAGGGGTTACGAGCAGCGATCAGCCTCTCACGACCACCTCCTGATCAGAATTCTTAAGGTCAAACATGTTTGATTTTCTCCCGACCGTTGTGGGCAAAACGCTCAGTGCACATGCGCAAAGAACGATTCTTTTTATTCTTCCTCCCACTGCAGTAGCCACGTTTGCTCAGCCATGTCTTTTATTCATGTCTATAGTGAGCTTTATATCCCTCTTCTATTTGTTTGGCTTTAGGATAGAGAGCTTCAGAGCAGCTCCATCTCACTGCAGAGCTGAGTCCGAAGTGGTTTTTAGACGTACAGTGTGAGCAGGCAGATCGCATCAGAGCTTCGGGCCGAACATAAATCGTGAGCTGTGAACTCACACTTTACGACTAAACCCTGC